AGGACAGTGTGGTACATTAAAATCCTGATGCTTTGCACAGCTAATCAGAACCCTGTTTACGGATCCATTTTACTGCTTTGTTCTACTCACGGTCAGAATTTACATCAAGGACAAAGAACGAACAGCCAAATACTGAATACGGATGAATCATAGCTATCATATCTCACAGTTGTCAGCCACTGTGACGGGCAATACCTGCTGATTTATCTACCACGGACTTGACCAGATTTTTTAAATTTGACTAGTGTCTTGTAAGTTGCTCCCTTTTTGTGTTTCTGCAGGGTTTCCTTGCCAAGTTGCCGTGAAATATAGCACAAAGAAGGAAATGTCATGCTAAAAAGGCCGTGACTTAGGATCAAGCAACTATTTCAGGCTGTGGAGGCCTGTTATAAACTTCAGCTGAACTGTAGAAATTATTTTTTCACAGAAATGTTGTCCTCTATCTCTTACATTGGCTAAGAAGGGATTGCTTCATCAAAGCCAGTAGGGACAGGAAGTAGAAATAACATTGAACCACAACTCTTTCAGTGCACATATCGGCATGTTGGTATTGTATTAAGAGACACTTGAAAGAATCATTAAGTGGTCATTCTCTGTTACATATCTGATAGTGAGGACAAGGTTTGTTGCTCCTTGGGGCCCTGAAGTACCACCAGGGGGTCCTAAAAGGAAATGAAAATATGAACTCTTTTTTTTTTCTTCTCCACCGTCCACAGTTTGTTTTCATTTAAACACACAGTCTAATAATCTGTGTGTGATAATACATTTTGTGATTTGGGACTGCCATAATAACGTTGGGGAGTGTATCTTAAAGTTATAGTACGGTCTTCTGTATTTCAAATGTACTGTGTTTATATATATATTTTGTATTTTTATATTTTTATTCTAAACAATAACAGTCGTTGTGTACAGAAGCGTATTGCATTCACTTGAAAAAAGTGAGTAATTGATTTTTTGGTTTGTTTTTTTGAATATTTTTTCTGTTTTTCTGACTAATTTTTTTTCTGTTTTTCGGAGTAATTGTTTTTCTGAATTATCGAGATACTTCAAACTCCCGCGAGAACCTCCAACCTGCAGTGACTCCCATGGACCTATGGTGACTCCTGCCCGCACATACATGCCCCATCTTCAACTATCTACCGTACCGGGTCAATTTTGCTATGTATATATTGCTATGTCTATCAGGGGCTGGCGTAGAGGTCGACAAAACTAAGTGATCGACATACCGAATGATAATACCATCTATATGACCGATATTAACTCCCTCCTCTCCTAAACATACTTTGCTGCAGTCTTTTAATAACGTTTGACAGTTTCCAGCTTATTACAATTAATGCATATAGTCCATTAGGGTGTTTGCCTATGATATGGAGCGTTTGATTAAATCCTGTGTAACGACACTATTTCCACTGTTTTATTATTTTATTCAACCAACATCAACAGCAACAGCTCCATTCAGCGGTAAGAAAGCAATTCTGGATGGAAATAATCATCTTTATTCATTATTATTCTCTTATATACCAGCACTGTCACCAATGTATTGGTCTACAGCAGTGGTTCCCAACCTTTATTTATCACTGAGTCAACTGTCGACACCTGACAAAACAACATGTTTTTGATATTTCATATTATATTCAATGGCAAACAATAACAGGTCAGAACAACTGATAAACTGTACAGTGAACACAGAGCAGCAGATTATTTCCTGTGAATATCGTATCAAAGACACAGAGTTTTTATTGATACTTTGAATGCAATTTTCTGTCAGTATTATGTATATTTTTATTTTATCTATTTTTAAAAAATCATACATACTTAAATAGGCTTTTTTTTGGGACAAATTCAGTGTTTTCTTCTCCCTGATGCTTGTCCATTGTTCTATTAGCACCGCGGTTGTTTTAACTGCATACGTTTCTAATGCAGGACAAGTTTATCAGAGAGTGAAGGCTCTGTGAATATAGCTAAACATCAATCCATCCACCGTCCAACAAAATGTTCACTAACCATTACAAATGTAAACGGTTCTGCATTTATAGCATGCTGTCAACACACAAAAACAACTCATATAGTGACCAAAGAAATAACACGAGTCTGTAGTCACACCTTCAGCAGATCAGCCTGACCGTCAGGCGGTCGTAAATAAGAGAAGTGAGCAGCAACACACAGATCTGGAACCAGACTATCAGCTGGCAGGATCATGGTGTTCTTCCCAGACTGGGTCAGTGACACGAGCGAGCACCAAAATGTAAAGCTTGGCTCTGGCTGGTGAAGTTTACCAACCACTGTAACATCTGTATTATCTGGTGATATTAAAATATAACAGTCATTTGTCACATGCCAAAGAGACAAAAGGCAAACGGAGAGGTGGAGACGTGGCACTAGAGGACGGCGCTGGACGTCCCGCGAGCGAAGAAGGAGGCTCCTTTATCGTGGACCTTGTACTGAAAGACTTTCTTCTGTGTGTGCTGCCCATCGCCTTGTCTCCTCCTCCAACACACTTCCACCTGAAAATAAAGAACACTACTGGTTTAATAACATCTTTTTAAGCGTCTTCAACTGCAGATATTTGTAGCCTCTCTCACTGACTTTAGGCCATGTCTATCATCATTAGTGTCAGTCATTGATACTGTGTGTGCACGGATTTCACCCAGATATTAATATTTTAACAAGGTACAATCCATCTCCCCACTAGTGACCAGTCACTTAATCAATGAGGCAATAGATAGAAAAATTCATCTGTAACAAAACTGATAATTTAAGTATTCTTTAAGCAAAAATACTCAATTTCCAGCTTTTCAAATGTGAATATTAGCAGTTTTTTGTCTTTTATTATAGCAAACTGAAGTTTTTTGACTGTTAGTTAGACAAATAAAGCTCTTTAAATACTTTGTAAGTGCAATTTTGTTAACCAGAAGATGTACTGAGACAATAATAAAGATAGACAGTAGACTTGGACTATAGGCACATCAGAATTAGAAGAACTGTATAGAGACAAACACACACACACCTGCCCGTGTATGTCCCTGCAGTAGCCAGTAGGGAGACCCTGTACATGAAGAGTGAGGCTACACTGGTGGGTCAGGCCCTTCAGAAGTCTCTCTGAGCCTTCGTCATCTTCGTCGTCCTCCTCTTCCTCCCCATCGCAGCGTGCCAGCATCACCACATTGCCCTGCAGTCACAGTCAAAGTAATGATAAGACAGAGAGCTTTTTATTGGAGCTGTTGAAGATACCGTACAGGAAGTCAGTGCGTCCCAAAAAACGTCTCAAATAAAGCAAATTCAAGTTAGTGGAGAGAGTTTTACAACGCGAGGTACAGCTCAAACTCCCAAAGACAGAAACACACTCGTGCTTTGACAGCAATAATCTAACCTGTAGCTGGGAGCAGACGGTGGCTCTGCAGTAGTGGCTGAAGTCCAACACAGCTCCAACGCTCACCCCCAGACTCAGAAGCACACTGAGGTCGTCCACCAGCAACACCGGGGGCCCCCACTCCTCGGCCCCATCCGGCCCCTCGTCGCTGCCACTAGAACTGCTCACACTGGACCGGACAAACTCGTACAGACTCTTCAGGCCAACGGCAGGATCCCTGAACACAGAGACACGAGGGAGACGGAGAACATTATTACAGGGTTCCTACGTAGGTCCCGAAGTCTGGAAATATGTGGGAAGATGAATATCCAATTTCCCTTCGGGGATTAATAAAGTCTATCTATCTATCTATCTATCTGATTTTACAAAAACTAGTTACTAGTGTGTAAATTTAATACTGGATGGATCCCAAAGGATACACTCAAATCATTTATGATTGTAGTTCATTAAAAGGGATGCTTTCCAATAGACTTCTAGTCTGTACAGGTAATAAAACCCAACAAAAATGAATCAAGAAAAAGGTGATTATTTGTTCGTACCTGAGGAAGTCCATGGCTTGACTTCCCGTGTTTGTTTCTTGAGGAATTAAAACAGACAACGACTCCTTCAGTCCCTCCAGGAAAACCAGCTGCCCCTTCTCCTTTGCTTGTGCAAGGCTTACACCCTGAGGACACACAGTTCACACACACAGTTCACACAGTTCACACACACAGTTAATGGGAATCCTCTTGTGATGGGACCAGGTCCTGATTAATAAGCATTTCACAGATGTGTATTTCAGAAACAGGCTCATGGAGGGAGCAGTGTTACAGATACACACAGATTCAGTGTAATTATTCATGCCTCCTAACACTAAAAGGTAAAATAAAACAAATCTGGCAATATTCCCGTGCCCCAAAAATAATGTAATAATCCAGAAGTGACAGGAAAATAAATAAGAATCAAGGACGGAAGGAGAGGAACTTTAATGCTTTAAAAGAAGTAAACAGGGATGATGGATAATGCAGAATACGATTCATCACTATTAGACTGACTGCAGTGTGAAATGTTAACTTTTAATGTCATCAGGTCTCCAAATAACACTCCTCTTAAAGTGTAAAGGTTCAATAATAACACTCACCAGTCTCTGGCTGACTGCACTGTAATGGTTGAAGGACTGCACCAGACCCAGAAACCAAACTCTGCATCGAGCTGAGACAGCAGAGAGACACATTAACCTGCAGCTTAAACCCAAACACATAAACTATATTATAGTTATATATATAGTTTATGATGTAACTCACCTCGTAGGTACAAAGAGAGGAAGTGGTGAATGAGGAAAGAGGCATCACTCTGTCTGTCTGAGACCAAGATAAATTCTCCCTGTAGGTTACAAAACATCACATTAGTTAATTACATCTTAATATGACAGTGCTGGATTCATTAAAACACAGGTAAATGCTCACCTGTGTGAAGCTGTCCGGACTGGTGTTCAAGATACTGTTGAGCTCTGTAAACATAGCTGATAACTAGTCAACAATACAGGCCAAAACTGCTCGTAAGTGAGCTGGAATAACGTTTTTAAAACTGGGGGTTAATCCCAAACTGTGTCTGGTAAATTTATAGGTTAAAAAAACAACGTTAGATACTCTACTTTACTGTATAATTTGCTTTTTTCTCTGCACCAGCTGCCGTGCTAACGCCAGGTAAGTTAGCGTCGTACCAAAGAGGAGTAAACACAACACAGGAGGTCTCACTCTGCTTTCAGAGGAAAACACATTTGGACCACGAAGACGCCGTTGGAAACCGCTTATTGTAGCTTATATTATTATTATAATATCTTAAGTTTCAGAATTATTTTAACGACTTGTATTAACTCTAAACTACGACGGAGTATTAGGGTCAGACTAAGAAAAAAAAAATATTTTTTTTTTTTTGGAAATTACGAGAATAAAGTCGTAACATTTCGAGAATAAAGTGGTAATAATACGAGAATAATGTAATAATTATCTTAGTATGGCCCTGATACTCCGTCGTACTAAACCCCACAACATATAAAACTATATAAATATAAACCCTTGAGGACTGAATTGTAAGATTTCAATCCTTTATTTTTTATTTTTTCCACCTCAACTCTGTGACACAATGGTCTCCATGGTGACAGCTATGTACATCCATCTTAATAGACGATCTTTGCAAGCACATGGCGACTTCTTCTGTGTGTTTCCGTCCTCGTTAAGTTGGAGGACAGCGCCCCCTGCTGGTAGTGCCGTTAAATGAGTATTATAATAGTAGTAGCAGTAGTAATGGGAGTTTAGTGGGAGTTGTGGTGATAGATGTAATGTAATTATACCTCAGATAAAACAAACCTGAACTCTGCTCTTTATTTTTTCCACTCTAGATAGGTTTTTTTTTTTAATTCATGCATTTTTAGCATCCAAACATGACTTAAGAGATAACTAACTTTCCTTTAAAGGTGTTTCTGTACTGACAATAAAACTGAGACTGTCTAAGTGTTTTATCCTTGGTTAATATTTTCACTTTATCAACATTATTATTTGTTATTCTGTCTGTAAGCATCCTCTGCCAGTCTATCCATGCTGAACCTAAAAACTTGTAGATATTTGCACCAGAAAACCAGCTGTTTCATTACATCATTTTCCTTTGCTTTTCATATATATGGGTTTATTCCAAGTATGCAGGGCATCTCACTTTATGTCAGGAAACATGGTCCTCCTCCTGTTACCCAGCAGCACATTACAGTTTAATACAGTAGCTGAACCTGTTAGTTTGGATATGCTTTGAGTTCAACATTTAAAAAAAAAAAGAGGAATATGGATCACCCAGTTCACTCACTTGACAACTCTTACGTTTGTTAATAAATAGGATTTTTTTTTATTTTCCAAAGTGAAACCAGCATCAAGTCATACTGTAGTAGAAGATGTTATTTACGAAGAAGCACTCATCAGGAAATACTCAGCAACCTCAAACCAGAGGTTTCTTACCTGATGCTTTTAAGTGAAAAAGTAAAATCAGCGTGCATGTTTTTTTTTCTTTGTTGTTGGTTTAATCCAGTAAGCAGCATGAAAGCAGATATAATCAATATCTTCATAAAAAACAATCTATCAAATGACAAATACTGATTGACCTACGGAGAATTATCACCTGAATCTGACAACCTGTTGTCAGATAAATATTTTATCATCATTATTTAAGACCAATGACAATAAAAAGTCTGCTTTTAAAAGCAGAAAACCTTTCTTTAGTGCAATCAAATGCAGGCAGGGTTGGGGAAGGCATCCATCTTATCCTGGTGGTTCACACAGAACAGCTCAATAAAACACTTTCAATTAAAATGGGAGAAAGAAAATTAACAACTGCTTTGTTTTTGTTTTTTAATCAGCAGATGGCAGTGTGTAGCTCTTAAGCAGCTCAATGTCAAACACATGACTGTACATTTAATGAATCTGCATTTTAATCTTTCAACATGTTTCCTATTGCCCTACTAATAACGCAGCTCTCCTGAACAGACAGAGCAATGCCCTCCCTGAGCCGCTGCACTGCAGTTCAGCTCACATGTTTGAGTGATTACGCCTGACTAAAACCTTTCCACCTCCGCTGTTTTCTGTTTCTTGCTTGAGTCTGACTCGGCAAAATCACATTCAAGAAAACAACCTATGCAATATAATTTGTGTTTTATAAAATAATATAATCCAAAATGAGCAATTAAAGCTGCATTAATTGTCTTTTGGGCCACTTGGGGGCAGCAGAACAAGCTGAAAACACAACGTTAACATATTATTTGTAAAGTTGTGTCCACTTGATGAATGTAGATACGATATTCACTGTCTACCAACTCCTGAAGGAAATATCTGTGTTTTTACTCACATAGTGAAATTGGTCTGGCCCAGACTCTCGGCCCAAATAAAGCAATGAATTACGGTTCAGATCTGGTAGCCACATATGGCCCATGATATAGCCAACTATAGGATCACAGCTGGCCTTATTCTGGGCCCATATCTGACCAAACAGCACTCTTTTTATTTGTTTGTTTGTTTGTTTTGGCAGGCCTAGTGTTTACTGGCTCAATTTCCTCATTTAACTATGTATGTACACATTATTACACATGCAGTGCTGACAGGAGAGGACATAGAGAGACAAATGACATTTCACAGGTTTGCAAATGGTGTGATTTAAAGAAAAAAATATAAATATTTGGATCACAAGACTATAGTGGTTGATGCATTTTTCATCTACGCCAGATAAGGTAAGTGTGTGTATTAATGAAGTGGCTTGTGTTTAATCAAAGCTGACATGTGGACACCAACATAGGGTTCAGAATAGGGCCAGCTATGGTCCAACACTTGGCTGAGATAAGGCTGTGTCATCAGCCCTAAGTGTCTACCATATCTGGACCACCTGTGGACCATAATTCATTGCTGTATTTGGGCCGAGTGTAAGCGAGTGTAAGTGAGGGCCGTCACTGGGCCAGACCAATTTCGCTATGTGGGTAGCGGCTACATGCTCCACTTTGTTCACCTGACAGTTACTATGTGTTGTTTGGGTGCTGTGCAGGTAGTGCACTGTGGGTTTATCAGAGCTTCCTTTCCACCTGAAAGAAATAAAGTGAATGAGAGCGGTGAGGCTGAACCAAAACTGTGAAACTGCAGGCCTAAAAGTTCCAGTCCCAGAATGAGAATCTATGGTAACTGCAACTTTGTCTGTCTGCAAGAAAAACCCTCTTCCAGCAGAGATCAATAAAGTATCACATAATATTATACACTTGAATACAAACATCAGTATTATTTCACACTGCTGAGTCAGCTGTGAATGGACCAGGAGCAGAGGACAGACAGCGTCATGTGAGAAGAGTAATATGGGACAATCCAATGAACTGTCATTGACTTGTTGTTTGGCAAACTGCCGGCCTGTTCGTGGTATAATTGTTGGCACGGATACACAAATGTATAAATAAATGCTTGTGTTTCTGTCTCTGTGGAGGTTATCAGCAGGCTGTGTCGTTAGAAACTCCTACAGTCCCTGAAGTGTTCCTGAGAAAGACACTGAGGTTCAATGTTGTCACAGTGCAGTTCGTTATAATACTGCTTACATACATATATATTATATAAATATATACTCCATTCTTATTGTTAATACAAATTGTTTTTTCATTATTGCTTGTAATCATATCATATTCAATTATTAGTAATGTTTCCTCATTTTATTGTTGTTTCCTGCTCTTTATTTTTCATTGTTTATTATTTTTTCATGATTTTACATTATATTTCCTTCTGTGACGCACTTTGTAGATAATTCTCAGTTTCCATAAACTTAAAAATCAATGAAAAAATAAATACAAAAGGATTTTTTTTCTTGTTTTTAAAAAAATAACAAAATGCTAATGTCAGGTTTTATGTTAATATGCAGCAGCAGACACAGAATATAAATAAATAATTTTCTAACACCCCATTACCTTTGCTATAACAAGACCACAAAACCACAACATAACAAATATTGGGTATTTATCTCCAAAAACTCTTTGTTCTCTCCTAAAGAAGCTGTACATATAGCACTTCCCAGTTTCTGACATTTATACATTTTTGGGAATGCAGACTTTTTGACAGCTGCCAGAGGAGGCCAGTGGTCCTCTGCATCTTTAAACACCTCCAGCTTCCAGTTTCAACCTGACATACAGTTTGTCAAACTATGGAAGCAAAACCCCCATAGAAGTTCTTGTTAATGTTACTTTCCCTGAATAAAAGCTTCTGGTAAACGCCATCAAAATTCAACTTGTGCATTCACAGAACTATTTTCAAGATGACAACCAGGACAACGAGATATGAGGAACAGTTAAATCAGGGGGTGTAGGGGTTCAGAGTCCACGGTCTGGACAGCTGAAGCTCATTGATCATGGAGGCTGGCAGCGAGCGAGTGCTGACCGGGCTGCAGACAGAACAAGGGGGAGAAGGAGGATACATGTCATCCTCCCACCGTAGGACGCGGCCCTTAGCTCTGCTGGGGCCATTAACAGTCTTGGTACGGGGCCCATTGAGGATTTGTGGTTTGGTTTTGGGCATCCTGTAGAGGTAGACGTCGTAGCGGGCAAAAGGACCTCTGGAAGGCTTGATCTTAGTCCTCTTGGAAAGGTGGAGCTCCAAGTCGATGGTCACCTTACAATGTGGGAATAGACTGGTTAATGGCACGTACAAGCACAAATAAGTGGACAGAGATACAGAGTCATAAACACACAGGGTAAATGCATATACAGATCAATACCCATTGTGCTACTACCACACAGGACAGCCATGCTCTGTCTGTGAGGCTGTAGTTTGACAGGCACAATAACATGTTGATGTTTCACAGGTACAATGGCGGAAACTTTGTTAACAAAAATGTTTATAATAAAGTTTCTGTCATTTCCACCATCTTAGTATATGTTAGCGCTATATCTGCCAATTAGTGCTAATTGCAAATGAGCAAAAAGTAGGCCAAAAGCTGAGGCTGATGGGAATGTCATTAGTTATTTGGTTGTTGACATAATGATTAGTTCTAATCCATCTCGTATATGTTAAGATATTTTATCTGATAAGTGGTGCTAGAGGAAAAGTCAAAGGATCACCAGAGCCAGCAGGATTCCTCCACTGGGAATGTCAAATTTAATGGCAATCCATTTAATAGTTGTTGAGATATTTCAGTCTCAACCAAAGTGGTGGACTAAAAAATTG